GGCGAAGCGGTGTTCCCGCCCTGGGCGGCAAAGCTGGATGGCGCGGCAAGCGCCTCGCGCAGCACGAAGACGCGAATGGCGGACGAAAGATTGGCGCCATCGCGCTGGCCGTCGATCTCGCCAACAAGCCGGGCAATGGAGCAGCCCCGCGCCGCAGCGATGGCGCGCAGCGCGTCCCAGAACGCCGCTTCGAGCGACACGCTGGTGCTGTGACCCGCGACCGCCAGCGAGCGTTTGATCACTCCGCCGCCAGCAAGCGCGCCTGTGTGGCGGGCGCGCGCGTGACCTGAACCAGAGTGATGTGGCCCTGAGTGATTAGGGCGCGCCAGAGCAGCAGCTGCGCGACCTGCCTCAGGGATGTCCCGGTCGCCGGCGTCTCGCTCTGCCATGCGGGGGCCGCCGCCGCCGTCTGTGCCGGAACTGGCGAGGGCAGCGTCAGGCGGCGCGCGATGGGGAAAAGGCGTGGCGTTGGGATCAGGGCGCGGCTCAGGCTGGCGTTTCGCCATCGTCCTCGGCCCTCTCACGCCGGTGGCTGTCGAGCCGCCGCTCGCCGAGATCGGTGATGGCGGCCTCGCGCTCCTTCTCCGCCTTGCTGCGGCCGAAGCTGGCGCGGTTGCGGGCGGCCTGTTCTTCCTTGTGTTTGCGGGCCAACTCCTTGCGGGCCTGCCTGAAATTGATCACGTCACCCATGAAAGCCTCCGCCCTCCGAGCCGCCGTTCTGCCCGGCGCCTTGCCATGATGCGGAACGCCCGGACAGGCGCTCTCACTCGCGCAGGTGGGTTGGACAGGTCGCCGAATTTGCGGCTGGCGCCGGCCGGGCCCGATGCGTGGCCGCCAAAAACTACCACGGCGCGTCAGCATGCGCGACGCTGACCATCAAAAACTAGCGCGAGAATTGCGCCCTGAATACGGCGTTTAGCGCCCGATGACGTCGCGCGACACTCAGAGACAGCGGGGGGACGGCCAGGCGAAAGGTGGGCCTGACGACGAGCGTCAGGCAAGGGCGCCTGACCATGGCGCCCCACCAGAGCATCGGATCATGACGCCCGCTTACGCGGCGAAGCCTTCGCGCGCCAGGGCCCGTTTCACAGCTGGTCGCGCCATCATGCGTTCATAATGCGCGGCGAGATTGGCCGGCAGTTCTTCCTTCAGGCGGAACGCCTTCCACCAGCACACATAAAACAGGGCGTAGTCGGCGATCGACAGGGCGCCCGCAACATGGTCGGCGTCGCCCAGTTCGTCAGACAACAAGGCGATGCCCTTGTTGGCGTTGTCGGCGCCCAGGGCGCGCACCGCGTCGTATTCCGCTTCATTGCTGGTGAAATAGTTCGGGCGGAACAGGCGGGTGAAACCCTGCGGATGCACGAAGCCGGCGATATAGGACATCACCGAGATCGCCTTGGCCTGATCGTTGATGGAGGCCGGGATGAGATTGAGTTCGGGATGGGCGGCGCCGATCCACCAGGCGATGGCGGGGAACTCTGTCAGCAGCGAGCCGTCATCGCGCGTCAACGCCGGGACTTTGCCCTTGGGATTCAGGGCCACATAGTCCGGCTTGCGCTGGTCGCCTTCCGAAAGGTTCAGCCGCACGGCCTCAAACGGCTTGCCGGTCTCTTCCAGCAGGGCGTGCACGCCAATGGAACAGGCTCCGGGGGCATAAAACAGCTTCATGTCGTTCACCTTTGGTCAGACCATTGAGTGGGCCCTTGCGGCGCGCGCCGGTTGGTCGACCAAGCGCATCCTGCACACGTAAGCGGCGGCGGCCCGGCCTGCCTGGGCGCCGGCATCCTGCCTGTATGAAGGAAGGGGCAAACGGGCCGGCAATAACGCAGCGCGGTCAGACAGGCGCTGTGCGGGGGGGCGTCGCCGCGAGGGGGCGGCGGCATGTTGCCCTGGGCCAGCGCCTGCCCCTGTCAGCTTGCGGCCAGTTTGCTGATCCTCGCTCCATCGCCGCGAAAGTCAGGAGTGGGGCAAGGGTCTGGCGGAGCGAGGCGCTTGGCAAGGGGGCTTGGCAAAGGGGCTTGGCAAGAGCAGTGCAAGGGCAGTGCAAGGGGCCGGGGCAGTGCGGAGTGAGCGTCGCGCCACTTCAGCCCTTGCGCGTCTGAGGCGTCGACAGTGGCGGCTGCGGCAATCTTCCAGCAAACCGTGCCCGAGGGGCGCCCAGCGGGTCGCCCGATCAGTGTTTTTTGCGAAAAGCGTCGAGGCTGACGACCTGGGCGCCGCCGCCGCCAGCTGGCGCGTTCGGGTCATCGGGTTCCCCGGTAGGGGCGGCAGCAGGCTTTTCTTCCCCAGCGGCGGCTGGCGCTTCGGCTGGCTGGGACGCGCTGTCCGCCGCACTGTCAGTGGCGGGTTCAATATGACCCACAGGCGGCACGCTCTCGCTGTCGGCCGTCTCGCCGACAGGGCGCTCGCGCTGCGAACGCGGTGTGAACGCGCGAGCGGCGGGCGCGGGTTCCGGCGCCGCTTCAGGCTCGTCCTTGACCTCGAATTTCAGCCCGAACTCAACCGATGGATCGTAGAAGCCGGTGATGGCGTCGAAAGGCACCACCAACCGCTCGGGGATGCCGCCGAACGACAGG